CTCCGGCGAAATTGATGGCGGGCACCAACTCCAATGCGGTCGTGGCATCCGGGCGACCTCCAAGGACCCTTCAATTGCAAGATTTGATGACGATTTGCAAAACTCCCAATTTTAGACCCAATTTCGAATTTTAGGGTTTTTTCGAGTAGAAAAATTCAGATTCGAGAAGTTACAGGACAAATTAGACAAAATGGTTTGGATATTATTGATCCTCGTCTCAAGACGAAGAGAATGACATTGGTCCCGCCGGAATCGGAAAAAGTTCATTTTCCGACGACTTTGACCGGCGGGCGGCGGCGGCGGGGCCTGGAAAAAAAGAAAAGAAGAAATGGGGTCAAATTGAAAATTTTAAAATATATAAAATTCGAATTTGGCCCTAATGACCGGAAGTTAACCTAGAAACGGGCTAATGGCTCATTAGTGAAAGGATTGTGTAAGTTCAGGGATTTTTGTGAAAGGATTTGAAGTTTAGATACCACTTCGAAATTCCAGCTAAAGTTCAGGTACCATTAGTAAAATTTACCCCATAAACCTTATCCATCCAAAATCCAAAGGTTCACAATTCTCCATCATTAAAACCTAGTAGTAGATTTTAACGCCACTCTACACTTACTCCGTCTATTTCTGCGATAATCCTCTCCGTCTACTTCCGCGATAATCCTCCGTCTACTTCAGCGATATCCTCCGGCGGGCAACGACATAAACTCTTCTTCGACCAGATTCCAATCCCTACCAAGAAGGGAACAGTCCATCACCTGTCGAGGTATCAGGTATGAACCCTAGTTTTTTTTTTCAATTTTTTGTGTACCCATTCCAACTTTGGTTAAGGCGTTTAAAGCTTTGTGAACCCTTGTTTTGGTTTTATTTTTGTTTTCAATCAAACAATTTTGTGCGCATGATATCTGGTTATCAATTTTATGGAACTTTGTTTAAGGCGTCTAATTACTGGGAACCCTAGTTTCGTTTTCACTATAAAATCGGTTCTTGAGTTAAGTGCACTGTTTACCCTCGAATTCTTTTAAAATTGCATTGTTTACCCCCAAACATTAAAAAGTGCACCAAATACCCCCCTGAATTCTTCGGAAGATTGCACGGTTTATCCCAGAATAATAAAAATTGCACCAAGTACTCCTAAACTCTTCAAAAATTGTACCGTTTACTCCTGAACATTTAAATAAAGACGACAATTTTGGGTAAAGGTACTTTGGAAAATTCACAAGGGCTAGATAAATCATATTCGCAATTGGAAGCAATGCACTCCCTATCTAATAGTTTAGGACCAACGATTCAACATTTTAATTTGTTCAAGGGTATTTGTTGCCTTTTTTAGTGTGCATGGGTAAATCGTGCAATTTTCGAAGAGTTTGAGAGTAATCGGTGCACTTTTTAAAGTTCACGGGTAAAACATGCAATTTCAAAATAGTACGGGGTAAACGTTGCACTTAAAAAATTATTGAAATTATATATTAATAATCTATATGTTAAGACAAATCAAACAAGATCACAAATGACTATATTTAGGCTTACACATTGAGAGAATTTGATGAGTCAAAATGCTTAGAAAAACAATTTCAAAAGTTAAAAGTGGACGAATATAGTGGGATGGACTATGGAGGGAGTATCTAATATTGAAATCTAAAGCCACTATAAGGGTTCAATTTTTTTTAAATAAATTTGGGGGGGATATAATTTTAAAATCAATGGGGGGGTGGGGGGGATCAAACTAAAACCACTGAGTTTAGTTTAAACAAATGAAATCCAAATTGAAAAACAATATTGAATCGATTAGAGCCGACAAACTAAAACCATTGAATTTTTCCTTATACAACTGAAATTCAAATTGAAAAAAATGAAATAGATTTTTAAATGGAAATGGGCTTCAAACAGCGCCACCACAATGGAATTGCAGATGGAGGTCGGCGTGAGAGGCATATCGCGGTCCGCGGAAAGGTGTTGTCTTCATAGAAAGAGAAGGGGTATCGGTAAAGGAAGATTTTGATAACGGCCGGAAGACGTATGCGAAGGAAGTGTAGAGTGGCGTTAAAATCTCAGTCTTAATGATGGAGAATTGTGAACCTTTGGATGAATAAGTTTATGAGATCGATGAATGAGATGTTGAGTGGCTTCTATGGCCACTAAAGGGGAGTGGCTCTAGAACCCTCCCGTTTTCACATATGCAAAATATACTAGAGATCTTAGTCTAGTCTCTCAATGGTCGCTCTTTGGCTTTAGCCTCTGCCTACTCACCGTCGCCCATCCACCCGGCGACTGACGCCAATAGCTGCATAAGCGGCGTGTTTTTCCAACGGCTACAAACGCACATCCACTCCGCGTCTTATTTGGCTATTTTTCTCTGGATAACTTCAAATCTGCAATTGTTGATCATAGGTATTTATTTTCAAAGCATAGTTTTCTAGATAATTGTATATTAATATGTTACTTTTTCATACTAGTTATTGGTTTATTAGTTGTTCAACTGTTTTTCTTTTTTAGATTCTCAATTTGATTTTTCCAGATTTTTCATACTTGTTTGCTTTGTTTGGTTACAACATTTTCGATTAGCGTTAGCGTTTTGTATATTAATTTTCAAAGCATAGTTTTCTAGATAATTGTATATTAATATGTTACTTTTTCATACTCCATCCGTCCCTCTGTATTTGTCCACTTTCATTTTTACACACCATCCAATGCACTTCTTTAATTCATTTTATCTTTTAATTTGTATATTAAAAAATTATAGAAATTATATATTAATAATCTATATGTTAAGACAAATCAAACAAGATCACACATGACTATATTTAGGCTTACACATTGAGAAAATTTGATGAGTCAAAGTGCTTAGATGAACAGTTCCAAAAGTCAAATGTGGACAAATACATGGGGATGGAGGGAGTACTAGTTATTGGTTTATTAGTTGTTCAACTGTTTTTATTTTTTAGATTCTCGATTTGATTTTTCCAGATTTTTCATACTTGTTGGCTTTGTTTGGTTACAACGTTTTCGATTAGCGTTAGCGTTTTGGATAAAATTTTAATGGTCCAGATTAATTCTGAAAATGCTAACGCTAAAGGCTACCGTCAAATAGCTTTTTCAAAACGCTAACACTAATCTCTAATGCTGATGCCAAACGGGACCGTTAAAGGTATTTCGATTGTTTGGAAAAATAGGATTAGGATTCGGATACTGGCCTTAATTGGATTCGGATACAATTATAGTAGATCCTAAACGGATATCATCCGTTTAAGCCCCTAAAGCTTGAATAAATGTGGAGTAGTTTTTGCCATGGAGTCTAAAATACTCCGCAGTTGAGAATGAGTTCTTAGTGTTTCAATGCTTTGATTTTTTTTTAAAATTGATTTGGTTAATGTGTAATCGATTGAATTAATTTGCCCTGCGTAAATAAAATTACATCATATATATAGCATGAAATTTAACAAAACAACAATTAGAATAAGCTTAATAATTAAAAAAGTACATAACACACCATAAAACCTCAAAATAAAAAAATACATTTCAAATACGTAAAATTAAAACCAAAGACAAATAACAAAAATACGATACATATTAAATCCAATTTTATATGAAACTATTGATTAAAAGTGTTTTGGGGTTTATGTGTGATTTAGTCTGAAATGCATTTAGTTTCTACCATTTATAATGAATGGATCCATATGTTCATCATATCAACGGACAAATGAGCTTGTGATGTTCGTCATCTTCGCGACATATATAGTGCACTTTGCTTATTGCAAATTTATAGGATAGATTATAGAGTAAGATCAGTAGCGTGAGAACCTTATACTGAATAGCTTCTCAATGTCTTCGAAACTCTAAATTGGTTGTAACAGATTAGTACTTCGTAATAATCTAGATACACATCTCATGTGTATCTAGATTGTGAACTATAATTGCTTATAAGGACATCTCCATTGCCTAGCTTTCTTCTTGTATCTAATCTATGTTCTACCATGAATTATGTGTTCAGAATGGTTTGAATATTTCAGTAAATGTGCTGCTGGTTTCTGTGCCAAGTTTCTCATTGAAGACGGTTTGAATCAGTCTCATACTTCACTGGCAAATGAGATCTCCACGAATCCTTGAGGTGTGGAAAATGGGCACCGTGAAGTACCTTGAAGCACTAAAGCTACAAGAAATGATATCATCACAAAGAAAATCCCGTAAAATAACGGACACATTGATATCTTTACAACATCCACCAACATATACCCTTGGCAAAAGGCGAACGGATCACAATTTGTTACTTCCGGATTCAGAGTTGAAATCAATGGGCGCAGAGCTTCACTACACCCAGAGGGGAGGTGACATTACATTTCACGGTCCTCACCAGGCCATCTTGTATCCCATCATATCATTGAGAGATTTGGGTCTCGGGGCAAGGAAGTACGTGGAGAAGCTAGAGCTGACCATGGTTGTGTTAGCATCTGAGTATGGGGTGAAAGCAATGAGCGGAGGATCTTGCGGAGAGACCGGTGTTTGGGTCGGCGACAGAAAGATAGGTGCGGTTGGGGTGCGTATCTCATCAGGGGTGACGTCACACGGGTTGGCATTTAACATTGATCCTGATTTGAGTTACTTTGATCACATTGTGCCCTGTGGGATATCAGACAAAGGGGTGACTTCCCTGAAAAGAGAGGCAGCAGTAGATATGGAGCTTCCGGCAGAAGATGTGATTCAGGATCAGCTTGTTTCTTGTTTTGTAAGAGTTTTTGGTTACAGCGATGTTGTTTGGAACAAATCCCCTCCCCTTCGTTGCAATTGAATGCTGATGTTTGTTAATATTGCTGACTAGTTGACATTCAAACTTGTTGTGCAATATAACAACATACTGGTTTTTTTTCTTACGAAGTATTTATTTATTACTTATAAAAGTTATACAATATATTTTTATCTTCAAGGTAGGACCTAAATTAGTTTATAAATTAAATCAGAGTGCTCATTTGCTCATTCTAGCCGCTGATTTCCTCAAAGGATAAAAAAAAATCAGAGTCCTACTTTCAGATGATCGGGATGTTGATTTCATAGTGCTGATTTCAGAGTGCTACTCACAGTGTTTGATTTCATTTAAAAAATCAAAGTGCTTGTCTGCTCATTCTTGGTAATTGGCATTATGATGCTTGCGCTAAATCTGTTATTAATTATTATTATTCACGTTTAGTTTAATTTCTTTTAATAATAAAGAACAGAAAGCCAAATACAGTTGTGTTTATAGTCCATTAGGGCCCTAGACAAAATATTAATCAGGGGCCCTTAGCTTATACTCCGTATAATACGGAGTACTTCGTAAGAAAATAATCACGCACAATAAAGACCTTGTTTGAAAAACGGCTTTTTGGATAGCTTTTGACATGTTTGACTGATTTTAGTTTTTTTGACTGAGCGAACAACCAAAATCATTGTTTGGCAAATGGCTTTTTCACACGGTATTTTGATCCAAAAAGCCAAAACCTGAAATGCCAAGGAGAGTAGCTTTTGGACTTGGTTGTTAGGAAAATTATTTTTTTAAAAGTTATTTTTCTTGAAAGATAATTTATAATATATGTAAAAAATAAAAAAAATAAAATTTAAAAAATTATATACTAAAAAAAATAAAAAATAAAAATTAAAAATTTCAAAAAAAAAAAATGGAATGAAAAAATAAAAAGTATAAATCATTAAAAAGTTGTACTCCCTTCGTCTCTAAATATTTGCCACACTTGTATTCCCGAGGAAAAATATCAAGTTTCTATTTACATATTGGTATACAAATAAAAAATAAAATTTACATATAACAAAACTACATGATAAGTTCTTCGAAATAAGAAGTGTCAAGAATATTTTATTTTATCAAATAACCAATGAAAACGTAGAAATAAACAAAAGTTCCCGCGACTGCTGAAAAAGCAAATGTTGTAATATTTTGGGACGGATGGAGTATATTAATAATTTCTTATCACTTAAATGAAAGTTAAATTTAATACTTAATATAGTAAAAATTTAATTTTTACATGTAAAAAAATGAAAAATAAATATTGTGTGTGTTTGTGTATACATACATACATACATACACACACACACACATACATACATACATACATATATATATATATATATATATATATATATATATATATATATAGGAAAAACTATTTTCAAACAACTAATTTTACCAAACATGTTTAACGATCAATCAATTCATCCTGCCGGTCAAACCACCTGAATAAAACAACCATTCACAATAGCTAGCACGAAGTGCCAACTGCCAACAACTAACATCCAAACAAGGCCAAAGTATAAAGCATTTCATTTAAATACTCGCACTAAACAATTTGCAGCAAAAACAAGGTACTCTGCTTAATTGTTGTGAGTAAAGCAACCATCTTCGATCAAACTTTTCTTTGTTCTTTAAATTATGGAGATAAAATGAAGGATTAAAATGTCTTATAAGGCCCTGTTCCATTCAACTAATTTTTTTATTTTTTTCTTATTCTTATTAAAATCTTATTAGATTAGACCAAATTATATTTAATCAGATCAGTTCAGATCCAATCAAATCAAATCAGATCAGATCCAATCAGATCAGATCTAATCAAGAATTATTATTATTATTATTATTATTATTAATTTTATTATTATTATTCTTATTATTATTTTAAATTCCATACTTTAAAAGTGTTTCACTTGATACGATTGTTTCAAAAAATAAATTTAATTTCTGTTGAAAAAATATAAGAAAGAAAATCAAACTTTTGATTATGACTTATATAGAGAAAAATAAAATGATATGAAGCACACTTTTTTTCATAAAAATGAAAAATAATAAACTTTAGAAACAAGTTAAATTAAAAACTTAGAAAGTAATCCTTAATTATTTGACGTCGAAGAAATTATTTTTAAAATACATTGACAATGTCAATCTAATTCTACTTTTGAAATACATTTTTATTTGTAGCTTTGATTTGAGTTTCTAAAGTTCTGATCTTTTACTACATCGAGTTGATCTGCTTTGATCATGACTTAAATAAAATTAACATTTGATATTTATATATGGAGTTTATTTTAGTGTAAAATAATCATAAAATAAAAAATATTGATTATATTATAATATGAATTATCATTACAATTTTCAAAAGTTATTATAAAATCCGATCAAACTGTTTGAATTTTAAATCAAATCATAATTAATCAGATCATATCAGATTCAATCAGATCAGATCAGATCCAATCAGATCAGACTAGGTCAGATCAGATCCAATCAGATCAGATCAGAACTACAAAAAGTCAAATTAGATCAGAAAAAATAAGTTGAACGGAATGGATCCTCACTCTCTATATTTACCATGTTATACTAATAAATCTTGCAAGCTTGCAATAATATTAGCTTGCTTACTTGGATCATGAATATTTTCTACATGGTAATTTTGATGATTTTATTTTCCACTATTTTGCATATTCTTCTATAATGGGTTTCTTATGTTCTTTTTAGTGAAGTATCTCATTATCATCACACTCTAAAACCATAAGATCAATAGTCTCTTCATTGAACGATTAATCACAAACACTTTTTGAATCCTTTGCAAACGGGATCATTCTCTCTCTAATAAAATAAATTAAAAAAACAAGTTGTCGTTAGAAACTTTGTTTGAGAAATTTACCTAAATAGGACTAAAACATAATGACTTTCCCAATATAGGACCATTTGTTTTTATTTCCCAATGTAGGACTTTTGGTCATTAACAAGTAGTCATTATTCAAGTAAATGTCTAGCATTACCGGACATTATTCCTCCCACGAGGTCATTATTTAGTCCTATTTAGGGAATAAAAAAGTTTAAGTCCTACATTAGGAAAGTCATTATGTTTTAGTCTTATTTAGTGCAAATTTCACTTTGTTTTCCTACTCTTAGAACATTTATGAATTTCATCTTTTTGGCTCAAACTAGATCTTTCATGCTTATAGTTTTTGCCATTTAAAAACCCCAGAATCGTATTTCTTGCTAACATGTTTAAATTCTTAAGCTATGTGTATCATACGCTTTATGGGAGCTTGAACACCGCCACGTAGATTCCACGTGGCATGTCACCCCATCACCGGCCTTATCACGCCAAAGTGTGTTGTGGTAAGGGGCTTGACGGTACTTGACCTAATTATTGGTTAATCATTAATTTTTTTTAATTCAATTGTGGAATTTATGCATTAACATGTAAATTAAATTATTAATTTTAACATAATTCAAAGTAAATGCATTCATGACGTAAAAAACAATGAAAAAAATTACAAAAGCTTTGAATTTCAATTACCCTAAACTTCTACGTATTGCATATTAGTATAACGAAATAAAATTTTGAAACTTCTGAATAAGATAAATCTAATAAAATTAATTTTACACTAAAATACATTACGATTTTTATTTTATTGAAGCTCAAAGTTAATCAATTTTGACTCAAAAAAGTCAAACTGGATAAATACACTGGGACAGATGTAGTAATATACTAGTCGTCCATGTTCTATTTCACCCAGATGTTTGCCTTCACCCTCTTGGTGTCCTACCTAATGCACTCGGTCAAGTGATCAATATTCGGTTGCAGTTTACAACATGCGCATGTCATTGTTGTATAATTTTCTAGTTGGAGATCAACGAACTTTTTCATATACATCTTGTCCAACTTCTCTTCTTAATTTTTATTTCCCAAGGACATTGGTCATTTTCTTCCGTTGTTGCGACCAGGCAGGCACTGAGGTTCGGGATGCATGAAGTACTCTTCCCTGTCATCATTCAAGTCATTCAAATCTATCTTATACTTAAAAGCAGGGGATATTAGACTAATATTTTCCCGCCTAGAAGCTAATGCAATAATAACCATAGATTAGTAGTTGCAAATTGATCAATGGTTCAGAATTCAGCACTAGGAAAAGGCAGGAAATAAAGCACTTAATAGCAAATAATTCCTCCATGTAAGTATTTTATGGGAATTCAAAAAGGATGGAGTCGATATCTATCTTATACTTAAAAGCAGGGGATATTAGACTAATATTTTCCCGCCTAGAAGCTAATGCAATAATAACCATAGACTAGTAGTTGCAAATTGATCAATGGTTCAGAATTCAGCACTAGGAAAAGGCAGGAAATAATTCCTCCATGTAAGTATTTATGGGAATTCAAAAAGGATGGAGTCGATATTTATTTAAAAGTAAGGGAATTATTGACCAAATTTTCGTGCTCATGACTATGCATCAATATATGAAAATATTGTGTTACATATGGAATATTGTGTTCATTATAGATGGATATGTTTCTTATATATTTTGTACGCATTACATATAGAAATAATCATTTCGTGACATATTGACAATTTTTTTTTATATTTTTTGTATCCTCTAAATATGGAAATATTGAATTTGTTGTACATAGAAATATTTTGTGTGCGTTTAATATAAATATGTTCATTATTATTTATAGAAATAATAATATTATTATTATAAAACAAAAATATAATAGAAATAATAATATTATGAAAATAATATTATTATATAATCATCATCCTATTCTTAAAAGCAGGAGAATTATGCCCCATTCTTTTTCCCGCCCAAACACTATCGTTTATGGATCATCGATTTTGATCTACATTTTTAATCTACGATAATTATAATTAAGCAACATGCAAATATAGTTTTATTTCATTCTATAGAAGGGAAATACCTTATAAGATTCATGTGTAATTTAATGCGGTGTATATAAATAATATGATTTTATAAAAGGAAAGTATTGTGTATATAAATGATACAGTTTTAACTATTTAAAAAAATGAAATTAACTTTATAAAATCCATACATACTTAATGCCTAAATGTTGAAGAGGCTTTTTTTATGCATGAAAAAACATATTTAACATATTAAGAAAAGAAAGAATTACCAAAAAAAGAAATCATAGAATTTTGGAAGTTATTATCATGTTAAACGAA